CCACACGGTTCAAAGCCTGACAAAAATGTAGGACTGAACGATGTATTCTAATGTAAGACTTTAATGTGTGAAATGCATTTGTGCAGTGCCGAGTTCTGCAAAGCAGATAACATGTTTTCTCTTTCTGTTTTTCATGAATGTGCACGTGTGTGGTGTGCACACACGTGTATGGGCATATGTGCAGACACGCAGGAGTACACATGTCCATTTGTATACATCCGTGCAGAGTCTGGCTGGTCGACATCAGGAATCATCTCCAGTTGCTCTTCTACGTTATTTTTTGAGGCAGGCTATCTCAGTCAAACCCAGAGCTCCGATTTGGCTGGGTCCCCTAGTCTAAACCTTCTAAGGTTAGCATTGCACATGGACTGGCACAGCCACCCAGCAGTTACGTGACTTCCGGTTCTCATGAGCCATATGTCCAGCCTGCGAACAACCTTTTCAAAACATTATCTGGTTATGATTTTGTGAGATATAAAATGACCTGACACTTCAAAGTATGACAATGACTTCATAAAAAAGAGAATATAAGTATCATCAGATATGTAAAAAATGTTTACCACAACCCTATTGGTAAGAGTTAAGTCCTTGTAATGGACCAGTTGTTCTCTAATTATATCATAGGTAAATAAATTACAGCATAATAGTGTCCATTTGTGCCCTAAATTAATTACAATATTGCAGCAAGAGCAAGTCAATAATAGCAACTTGGCTGAATCTAAGTGACAAAATATTGAGGAAAAACGTCTGATATGCTCCAGCTAAGTGCACTAATATTACCTCATATACACTTGAACATAAATGAAATCCATCAAAAATAAAATAGAAAAGAAAGCATTTGTTAGAAGTTCACTATGGGCACAGTCAAGGGACCAATGACACAGATCAGAAGGTGGCCTCTATAAACCCAGCAGTGATTGTATGTGAAGGGGTGTATGCAAAGGACTTCAGTACTGCTATGTAAGACTGATTTTCTAGGGACTATATGTGTGTTATTACTATGCATTTTTCAACCACACATAAAAATAGTGCACAAAAATATTCTAAGGCAAATTGCAGCCTGAAAGGGTACATTTGCAATTCATAGAGCAAAAGGCTCAATTATGAGAATGTATAAGGTTCCTAAAAACCAAGTGAGAGAATAGGCACTCAGACAGGGAAAAGAATACAGTGAAGATAAACAGGAAATTCACAAAGGAGGGTTGAAAATGGTATGTCAAACCTCTTCTGCAAGCATGGACATAGTACCGTGTGTGCACTCTGTGCAGGTGATGTCTCTCTGCAGGTGTGAACTGTTATATAGTCTGTAACTGTTGTGCAGTATGTCACTCTTCAGAAAGTAATACTTACCAATAATTCATGTCCACCACAGACACACACAGTTTGCTGTCAATATTACACATTTTTCTGCTCTTCCCTGTAGATGAAAATAGTTATTTATTTAAAAATCTTTGTTATTGCTCGTTAAATATGAATTTGGATGACAGCATGCAATTAATAAAAATATAAAGTAGTTACACCATTATTTGCAGCTCATTTCATTTACATCTATGATCCCCCTACCCATACATCCCGTACGTGTTTACAAGGTACACTGGCATTCTTGAATGTTCTAATTACTACGGCTCAGAACCGTGATTCTGTGATTGTGGTAAGCAGTCTATGACTCATCCAGGGAAATGACTATCATTCCACCCCTGGAAAGGCATTCTTAGGTGTACTGAAATGCAAAGATATACAGCTTATTACTTAAGAAGTCATTTGTAGAAAATTATATCTGGTGGAATGCTATAACCCACACAAGCCTGCATGTGTCGAGTGAATGAACAAAATTGCTTAGTGTCATCTTTTCTGAAGAGGGTAGTAAAAAACACAAAGTAAGAGTCTCCACGGTAAAGGCACTTGATGGACACCTGAGCTTGGTCCCCGGAACCTACATGGTAGGAAGAGAATGGATTCTAGAAAGTTCTCCCACACATGTGCCCACAAACAATAAACAATAACAGTCAAAACGCAAAAGGGGGGCGTTGAGAGATGGGGTGCACAGCTGAACACACCGGCTTGCACACAACTTCAGTCCCCAGCTGCCATGTGGCAGCACACAACCATCTGTAAAACCCCGTTTAGAAGCTGATTCGCCCTCTTCTGGCCTCCGCAGGCACTGCACATACGTGTTGCACAGTCATAGATGCAGGTAAAATATTTGTACACATGAAGATAAAATATAAATTTAAAAATTAAGCCGGGCGGTGGTGGCGCACGCCTTTAATCCCAGCACTCGGGAGGCAGAGGCAGGTGGCTCTCTGTGAGTTCGAGGCCAGGCTGGACCGACAGCCTCCAAAACAATACAGAGAAACCCTGTCTCGTAAAACCAAAAAAAACTTTTTTTAAAAAGGGCTTTTACAATACATGTCACACAGTTTTATGATGTAGAAGAAAACTTACCTTAAGCATACGCTTCTGTCTTTTCTTCTATCTTCACGGAACCCTGGTCTTCACACATTCTCAGCAAATGCTGCACCACTGAGCAATATTCCCAGCCCCATTTTTACTTTTTATTTAGAAGCAGGATGTCACTAACGCTCCTTGAACTCACTCTGTAGACCAGACAGAGGGATTCTCCTACCTTAGCATCTCCAGTAGATGGGATTAGAGGCCTGTCCTCCCAGGCTGGGATGAGCCCATTAGCTTTGGTGCATAATAAGAATTTATAGCAAACAAAACGAATATTTGACTATACATTAACTTTTAAATAATGAATGAGATGGCTGTTATGGCAATGTTGCTGGTATGATCGGGAGCTCGATATATAACGGAAAAGAAGAGGATATGCTTATCAGAATAGATATCTCACCTTAGTAAAAACAGCAACAGTATCTTAATTAGCAGGCATCCACTTTGGCAGCCATGCATGACAAAATACAACTGCAAGGGTAACTATGAGTCTTCAAGCCTCCCACAAGCTCTCCCAGTCTGCCCGCCCCCTTGAATGACTATGATTACGGCACAGTACATTACACTGGAGGGAGGTTAGAAATTATATCCAGTGTAATTCTTAATGCATTGAATTATTTGCTGAACCTTTGCTATATATACGTCCCATGAAATCTTATTAATTATGGCAGTATCAGATGTTTTTGCTACTTAGCATTCTGCAGCGAGTGAGAAAAATTCTTCCGTGAATATAACTTACCCTCGGGATTGTGAATTTCATTAGAAAGCAACACCAATTATAATGTCTGAGAGAAGTTGGTGACATTTATATTGAAATAATGAAGCAGCAAGATGTCTCCATTGGCTTAGCGTGGTTAAACAGAGAACAGGGAAGACAGAGAAACAGGAAGTGCATTTTGGTCTTGCGTACACACCTAAATCTATGTGTGATTAAATCCTACGGTGTATAGAAGTAAAATGTCTTTTATTTCTGAGCACGTTTAACTCTCGGGCACTTTTGTCACTAGATCTTTCTGAGAATATGATAATTTATTCACTTCAAAGAGAAAGAATTGTTAATTTATATGTATTCTCATGCAGTATCGGAGATCCTTTAAAACCCACTGGCACCTCCAGTGTGTAAGTGAAGTGTTTTTCAGTACTCAGAGGTTCCAAAGGGTCAGTGGTCAAACTGAAAGCACACTGTATCAATTACTTTTCTGTCGCTATGATAAAGTACCGTGGCCAAATCGACTTGCAGAAGAGAGTATATTTTGGATTACAGTTCCTGAGGATGGGCGTCTGCCATGGTGAGGGAGGTATGGTAACAACAGCAGCTGTGGAGACAGGAGAAGGAAGTGAGACGTTTCGTCTCCAGTGCAAAGCCCAGAGCAGAGAGAGGGAACCGGCAGGAGGGGCATCTTCAAATTCCATTCCCAGGGACATGTGTCCTCAGCAGGAACACACCACATCCCCAAACAGCCCCTCGAGCCATGGACCACGTGTTTAAACGTGAGCTCACAAGGAGTGTTTCTCACTGAAACTGCCACACATATCATTTTTTTTTAATGAGTAAAGTGTCTCCCTTGAACATAGACACGTGCATTAAACAGCCACTTAATACAATTTCTGCAGCATTCCAGGTGGGACATCCAAATAGATTCAGCTGTACTCCTTGATGATATACAATAACTCCTTGGAATGAGCTTATATTGATTAACTGGCACGAGCTTTTTGAGTTTGCTGAGAAGCTGGCTCTGGAAGTAGCATTGCTACTTTAGACTGAATACGTTTTTGTCAAACACCCTCCAAAATCCCCTGTCCTGGGTCAGGCAGGCCACATGGCTCACTAAGGCAAAGAATTGGAAGCAAGCCCTGAAAGGCACTGAAAAAATGTCCTTGAAAACAAGCGTTGCTACCATTTATCCTGTGATATAATAACTATGCCCACAATGTGACAGAGACACCGAAGCTCTCCCTCAGAGAGAACAGAGGGCCTTCTACCTAGGGCTCTGAATGGCCACTCTAGCTCACCGCTTCTGCTTGCCGGGTCCTTCCTGTTGGATGACTTTAAGTGCCTGACTTGATAATGTTTAATAATGTTATTTCTTTTCTTTCATCTGGATGCCTCACCAAAGAGCACTCTGTTCTCTGCTTCTCTTTCTTACAGGAATCCAAAAATTTGCCTCCATGGGTCTTCCTGGCACTGTCTCCTGGATGTTCACAAGCCCCTGGATTCGATGAGTTACCTTGCATTTTCTCCCAGTGTGATGGGCTACTCTTGTTGTCTTTGTTGGGTGTTTTTGATTGACCTGTATCTCTCTTTTTTCATTTCTTAAAGTGTTTCAGTCTGCTACTCTTCCAAGTCGCTTTTAGAACTATTGCATCATGAACACAAGTTAAAGTCACTCCAGAACTAGCTGCTAGAAGGCTCTGCCCATACCAAGTCATGGTGCAGAAATGCACAGACGCTGTGGGTCAGGTTTCTGACCAATCAACCCCAATCAGGAAGTGACGCTTTCCACCAAGGGCCCTGGAAACCAAACATTCCTTCCCACTGCACTTCAGCCTTCTGATGCCCTGGGAGAACAGAGCTACTAAAGAATGTGTAAAGAGAAGATAATGTAACAAACAGAAAAGAGAATGTGTAAAGAGGTGATAATGTAACAAACAGAAAAGAGAATGTCTGCATTAGAAGAACTTGGCCAAACTGACAAGATGTATTGTCGGAACTGATGTCCAGAAACCTCAGGTCTTCAGATGTGAGCATGGGTCTCTATTCCAGATAGAAATGCAGCCGTTCCCGTGGCTTCTGATAAGGCAAAGAGGTTTAGCGGACGGGTGGCTTGGGGGAGTCTTCCATTCGGTTCATCATGCCACACGATGGCTTTCCTACTGCGCACCAGGTAATCTACCTGGAGCTTCTGTCCTTCTTGGTTATATTTTCAGCTAATCTTTCTGGTTCTGGGAAGGTCTGCAGTCTCTCTGAGCCAACTGTGTGAACGATTTTCACATCTATTTCATTTGATCTTGTCCTTCATAAAGCCCCACTTTAACAGACACATGCACCACTGTGAATCTCCAATACGTAGCATCCATTGAGAGTTAGTGTCTGGTAACCTCTGCAAGGCATGGACATTTCCCCCTAGTTAATGGCCATTAGGTCACTTATGAGACTCTTGGGATGGAATTAAGGGGATACACCTGAGGATTTCATTATAGCACATTTCCCTACAAAGTTTTTCTCTGCTTCAATTAAATGTTTGAACTTGGATTATCTGAAAAATGAAAATCTGGTGAGAATCTATGAACCCTCTTACAGGAATTCATATTAGGTCTCTGACTGCAGCTCTAGAAATGTTTTTGCATCACTTTCTGTAGCCTAAACCTTCACTGAGTTTCTTGGGAATCCATGATGAATTAGCTACTGTTATAACTTGCTCAGTGTCAAAATCTTCTGTTTACCCCTGGTCCCTGTAGGTTTTCAGGGTAATTGAGTTCACTCTGGATGCCAATGTTCATCCATTTCTATGTCTCCAAGATCCCATTTTTTCATTGAGATAATAGAACTCATTTCTCTTGTTGTAGCATACCACCCCCTACAATAATCTCTGACTCATTGCAGATATCTTCTGCAGTACTTTTTGAAGAAGCTGAGGGTGTGGCTGTCCTGAGTGAGTGGAGGAGGTGTCCTTATTCACGAGTGGTTGTATGCATCTGTGCAACATTCTATTTACCCCATGCCTATCCCTAAAGCTTTTCATTAGATTGTCTTGTATTTCTTTTCCTCACAAAGTAACAAGAAATTCTAGCATTTTCTACCTCGTTAAGTATGACTCATCAGTCACCCCATGCATCAGTTATCCAACTAAGCAAAATGTTAATACCATTCCCTGATAGCCATCAATCACAAGTCCTGGGTGTGTAACCCTTCTCAGAGAGTCATCTTGAGAAAGGACTACTTATCATACAAGCTACATTCCCCCTGAAACATGTTATGATTTTATTTTTCACTCTCTTTATAAATAGGCCATGTTCTGCATCAGCTCTTGTCTTTGTAGGCATGTGTGTGTGTGTGTGTGTGTGTGTGAGAGAGAGAGAGAGAGAGAGAGAGAACGAGAGAGAGAGAGAGCGAGAGAGAGAGCTCCTGTGTGTGCAAGAGTGGTTGTGCATGTACATGTTTATGTCTGTATGGGGAAACCAGAGTTGAGCCTCACATGTATCTCTCAGGACACCTTCCACTCTGTGGTTTTTGTTATTGTTTCATATTTGTTTTTGCTTTCTTTTTGAGACAGGTTCTTTCATTGGTCTAGGACTGAGGTCAAGCAGGCTAGTCAGTCTCGCCAGTGAGCCCCAGGGATCTTCCTGTCTCTGCCTTCTCAGAGCTGGGATTGCATGCATCACCCACCGCCACACCCTGTTTTTGACATGGGTTCTGGGCGTTTATCTTGCAAAGTAAGCACTTTACCAACTTAGGTATCTCCCAAGTTCAGGATGTTTCTTTGAGCTCTCTTTTGGAGATGATGGGGAAATACCAAGGAATGCCTATCGATTTGTGAAATAACTGTGCAGTTTTATCATCAAGCGACCTCCGCAGGGAGAAGTTGCTTCCAATAGTTAGGACAGAGAGGTTGCATTCAAGGGAATGGCAGATATGTGTTTCCACAGTCAAGCTAAGGTAAGAGGATATGGGCGATCAGCATTTCCAGCCTCATCTACATGTATGACCAAGTACCTCAAGCCCAAATAAATTTCTGCAGTATTTAAACAAAACCTTGTAGTGAGAGATCTACCAGATGCACCTGTGGTGCTGACCGCTTCTGTTTGGGCGTGGTCACAGGTGCGTAAGATAGCGTGTGGAATTTGGTCTGGGGTCCCCGACAGGCTTCTGCTCTCTTGTTTCCGGTTGGGTCACGGAGAGCAACTAGGTGTTGATCCGCAGAACTGGAACTTAATGGGGCTTTTGGTTTCTCAAGTAAGTGACTTCTCCCCAGATAAAATTAACCTGTATTATCCTAGTCCCATGTATCTTAATCTTTGCACCTACAAAAACTAGCTAGCACATATGAACATCACTTCAGTGTAGACATTGTATGAACATTAGGTTTGCCTTCTGCCGTATCTGTCTGAATCTCTGCAATATTAAGGATATTAAGAAACATCCTGTTTCTTAGCATGTCTTGTTATATAAATTAGTAATTGTTCATCTCTTTCCCAGGTTCCCCAGTGGCAGGCCAAACCAAATGAATTGAAGCCTGTGAGTATGGCCTATGGACTCAGCCCCTTGGGCAGAATGAAGGGGCAGAGGAGGAACTAGAACACATCTAGCTCAAACTAAACCTTTTTGGAAGAAAGCCAAAGTATGCATTTCTATGTAGATATCTAGATAAAAGAGGAGACACGGGGAACTGAAGGTGACTCAGGGGGCAGAGGGTAGAGTACCTGCCATACAGGTATGAGGACCTGTGTGTGAGTCCTCAGAGGCCAGGCAGAGGTGGGCACAGCAGCAGACATGTCTATCAGTGCTTCTACAGTGAGATGGGCCACAGAGGAGCAGAATCATTGGAGCTCGCTGACCGTCTAGCCTGTCACACGGCTGTGAACAATAAATAGATCCTGTCTCAAAGAAGGTAGGAGGTAAGGACCAAGGACAGAAATCCTTTGACCTCTACAGGAGTCTCATGAATTCAATCTACATTCTCACACACAAGTGCCTTTGCCCACCGCCATTTTTGGAAGAGATAGAACGAGGACATAGAGCGAGACAGGAAACTGAAGCATGTATCTGAACATGAAAAATATATCAACATTAGTGAACACAATTTCGGGTGCCTTTTGATGATTAGCGGGGCAACGTGAGTCTTTGGTAAAGTCCAACGAGAGGGTCTGCAGCAGATGTCAAGAGGTATCTGTTTTCCAGGCTGGAGAGATGGCTCAGCAGTTAAGAGCACGGACTGCTCTCGCAGAGGATCCAAGTTCAATTCCCAGCACCCATGTGGCTGCTTACAATGGTCTTAACTTCAAAATCTGATAACTTCACACAGACATACATGCAGGCATAGTATCAATGCACATAAAATAAAAATAAATACATTAAAAAAGAGGTATATGTTTTCAGAGTCAGGCTTGTTGCTTACACTTTTAAAAGCTGTCTCTGGTTTCCATCCTGTCCACCCTACATGTCTACTCATGTGTTCCTTTAAGCCTCATGTGTTATCAATGGTTTTAATAAAGTAGCATTTACATTGTTGCTATAGTGACACTTTACGGGTTGGGTCTTTTTTGACTCACTTTTTTCATAAGTTAAAAATACTACAACATTAATGTACAATCCATTTTTAGTTTATTCGTTGTAGAAATGCATAGTTCTACTAATAAAATAATGCATACTCTGAACCATACACTGCTGTATATTTTAAGGCCGAGCTAGCTCTAAATAAGCCATTACAAGGTAAGCCTTCCATTTCTAATAAAGCAAAAACATTTGGTTCTCAGCGACAATGACATATTTTACAAACAAGTTTTAGTTAGAACAAAGTCATTAATTAGGCTTTATTAATATGAAAACCCCTAATTTTAACTATAGTCTAATCATTCTCAACCATGACCCAAAATACTAAATGGAAATTGTAGGACTAATCCGTACATTTTAAATTCTGTCATTCTTAGTGGATCTGGAAGTCTCCCCCTCTCCTGCTCTCCCCACGCCTTGCGTGAATCATCTTTGGTCCAGCGTGAGCTGCATGACAGTTGGCCTCAGAGCAGTTGTCCAGAAAGACAGGCCTCTGCTTGGAATCATGGCATTTGAGTCTGAGACAGCCTGCATGACTCCGAAGTGCCCTGCCTTAATTCTGCCAACAGTTCACTCACAGCTTTTAACCCCCTCCTTCACTTAAAAAGGCTCACGCTATGAGGTATCTGGCAACGCTTACTACCTGCCTGAGAATCGCTCATATCACAGAGAGCCTGGGTTACTTGGTTTTCCGTTTACGGATGGCACAAAACAGATGTCATGAAGCTGACACTGTCACCTTCTCCAGCAACTTAAGGCTTCTACCTCCTCCCTGAATACCTCAGTGACCATGTGACACGAGCTTGTTTTATATAACAGTAAATTTGAACATCATTGACAAGGTTAATTTCATTGTCCCCCAAAGAAAAATATATAATAACCATTTTGGCAATTTAGTCAGTGCTATACAACTGAGAGAAGACGGGAGTGACTTTTGGGGCCACTTTTTGACAATACTTATTAAATTATTAAGGGGTGACAAGACGATACAGAATTTGACTCTCCACGCTGTAACCAACATGTGATAGAAAGCAAATCACTCAAGAAACTCTGGAAAAATACACTATCCTCTCCAGACTGAGGCCTTATGTTAACCTGTCCTCTCCAGACTGGGCCTTATGTTAACCTGTCCTCTCCAGACTGGGCCTTATGCTAACCTGGGGGCACCATGGAAAAGTACACTGTCCTCTCCAGACTGAGGCCTCATGCTAACCTGGGGGCACCCTGGAAAAATACACTGTCCTCTCCAGACTGAGGCCTCATGCTAACCTGGGGGCACCCGAGAGAATGAGGGAGACAGAGGGTTGGCACTCAGTGTTGGCTTGTGTCTCTACTGGGAATAAATACAGCCTCAAGTGAAAGAAAACACCTTGTACTTCAAGAATGAGACCAAAGTCCTATATTCTCCAGCATGGGAAATCTTAGGCAGACATAGATACATTTTCTCTCCTTAAATTTTTTATATTATTTGTGTATGAAGGTTGTGTGTGTGTGTGTGTGTGTGTGTGTGTTTGTGTCCATGCCAAGTTTATGCATTGCTATGACCTAACCCAGGGCCCCGTGCTCTCTAGACAAGACCTCTACAGCTGAGTAATGTCCCCAGTCCCTCAAGGTTGTGCTCCTGATGCACAAACTCATTCCTGTAAGCTGTTGTTTGGACTCCATGGGCACGCCAAGGCACAATCACACACACACACACACACACACACACACACACACACACGCACACACACACACACGCACACACACATTTAGTTAAAATTTAAATTATATATGCTTGCGGGGTACAGCATAATGTTTTGATTCATTTGTACATTAAATAACAATCAAATTAGGGTACTTAGCATATGGTTTTAAGCTTTTTATAGTTCCTGCATAGTGAATGCATTCAAAATCTTTTCTTCCAGCTAATTTGAGGCAAACTATGCTTCATTACTAAGAATGCCACAGGATACCCAGCCTTCTTCATTCTATCTCCACATTGTCCCATTGACCAACCTTTCTCCAGCCCTTTCTCACCCTCTGCAGACCGTGTTGGCTACCTCACTATGAGATCCATTTGTATAAGATCACTTAAGAATAAGATTTCACAGTGCCCATTCTCCTGTGCTTGACTTATTCAATTAATTCTATTTAGGTCCCTTCATGTTGTCACAAATGATGGAATGTCATACTCTCATGGCTGCATAGTATTCCATAGAGAGAGATATATTTACACCTCCAAACACTAACTCACATTGTTTTTAAAAAGATCTATTAAAGTCAATCCCACACACATCTCTCATCAATAAACATTGATGAGAATATGGGGAAATGTGATGGTGAGAATATGTATAAGACACTGTTCTTATGGAAATAGTGAAGCCATCTGGAAAACTGTATGAACTTTCCTCAGGAGATCTAAAAGTAGAACTGCCTTTCTGAATAAAGATATTAATGGCTTCATTAATGGATGATTCTTTCACAAGAACTTGTCACTCAGTAAAGTATGCACAGATGGATAAATGCATCAGGAATCACAAGTTAAAATGCAAGTTTTAATTTGGAATCAGCGTTGACACTTGACTGCATGGGACTTCCGTGCCAAGGCTGCATTCCTTTCCCTGACACACAGGTGCCATCTTTTTCTGAACCTCTAATTCTAAACTCCTGTCCCTTGAATTCTGCAAGGTGTCTGGGCAATCTTTGCATAGGTAGAGTGGTGACTTTCCAAGATGCATTTGTCCTCAGACTTCTATCACCCCAGTGGTAGATTGTTCCAGAAAGAATGTAGCATGAGTGGGTAAGTCAGGAAGACCATTCTTCTAGAGATGAGATGTGAAATCTTGACACTAAATATTTTGCTTATCCTTGCACCTTCTATACTGAAACAACATGAAATCCTCAGATCGCAACAGCAGGTATCAGATGAAGTGAAGACCCCCACCCACAAGCTCAGCCCCTGTGCTCTTTGTTTTTGTTTGCTTCAGAACTGTACCAAAGTGTTCCATGTTACAAGTCTTCTTTTTATTTTGAAGGCTTTTTCAGTGTCTCATATAGTCTTGCATAACCTCAAACCCACGATGTAGCTGAGGGAGGCTATAAGCCCCTCAATCCTCCTGTTTCTAATTCCCACACTCTGGGTTTACAGTCACGCACCACCATCCACTCCCAGTTTCTGTGTTGTTGTAGGTCTAGCCCAGGGTCCCGTGTTCTCTAGACAAGTGTACGTCATCAGTCTCTAAAGGCTATTCTCTTGACATCAGCTTGCATCCATGAGTAACCTCACCCAACATATGCTGTATCTTAGAGAAGAAGGGATACAATGTCAAGAGCCATCGTAGACAACTAAGAACCCAGCTGATGGCAGGGGGCTCGCCCTCCTCTGAGAGGAGCATCTAAGCCTCATCGTCTCAGAGACACATCCTGGCAAGAGGACTCTGAGTTTCCGGAAGCTCCGCCTTTCTGGTGGTGGCAGGTTGGCCAATGTCCTTGAAAATCGGGAATGCTGAAGACAGAATGCACACACCTAGGTAATCCTTAGTTGTTCAGGCTTCAGAGAGCAGTCCACTCTACTATGCCCCCGTTTCTTTCCACTTCTCATCGTGAGCATCTCCTGGTGCTAAAGCAAATTCTGGGGCTAAGAGAAAATGTTAAAGCATTGCTGACTTTGAAACAGCCAACTGGAATTGTTTTTTACACCAACGAGAGCATGGGTCTCCAAAATAAGCACTGAAGCAGCAAGTGTAGATTTTGAAAATCACACTTTTGTGATACAATGTTTTGAAAGGTATAGTCCATGTGATTATGATACAGCATGGTCAGTGGAATGACTTTAAGTCACTCGTAGATAAATGTATATATACACATATAAGCGTGTAATTATTTTATCATGGTTTAAAAGACTAAGTTAGGTCACCAAACTCATAATTTCAGAACATTTTTATGACAACCAAATACTGTCTTCTGCATTTACTTACCCATTGGGTTGGGTGCTGTAGTGTGTGCGTAGCAATCAGAGGACAGCTTGCTGGAACCTGTTTTCACCTTCCACCATGTAGATCCTGGAGCTGAACTCAGGCCGGCAGGCATCTCTCAAGTACCTTTTCCAGAACCGTCTCAACAGCCCACAATTGTTTTTATGATTGTTTTTTTTTTTTTACAAAACAGTTGTTTGCAAGATAATTCTGGAAGTTATGTGCAAATGTGGGAAGATGATGAGGTCAGCAGGGGTAGAGCAGAAGCCCGAGAAACACCCTGTTGTGTTTGGTGGAGACCTTCCACACTGCTAGGCAGAATTCCAAAGAAGCTGAGCCTAAGCCAAGAACTTCTGTTCAGGTGACTTATCGACATTTTGATTGTGAGCCTAGCTTTAATAGCCGAGCTATTTTCCAGTCCTCAGGGAATTTATTGAATGAAATGCCTCCAGGAAAAACCCCGAGAGGAAGAAAGGAAGTGGGTAAAGGGAGGAGTAGAAACTAGAGTCATTCCTTGAGGAAAATCTTAGCTTTGGTTTCTGCATGTGTATGGTGCGTTCGTGCATGCATGTGTGTGTGTGTGTGTGTGTGTATGTGTGTGCGTGTGCGTGTGTGTGCGCGCGTGTGCGTGTGCCCATTTACATTCCCGAATACACGTATGTTCACATGCATACCAACATTGACATTGGGTGCTTCCTTGATCAATTCCCATCTGAAATATTGAGACAGTTGAACCCAGAGCTCACTGATTCTGATAGTATAATTAGCCACCTTGTTCCAGGGACCTCTGTCTCACACTCACCAGCACTTGTATGACAAGCAGACCACCGTATCTACCTGGCATTAATTTGGGTGCTGGCAATCCAAACTATGCTTCTGGAGGTCTTTAGCTGGTGAGCCCTCTCCAGCTCATGAGAATTTCAGCTTTGTTGGAAAATTTTTCAAATAATCTTACCCCCAGAGGAAATTTGTTCAAT